GTGGGAGATGAAGCAGGGCAGAAAGAACTAAAAATAAAAAATCCTTCCCTTTTGAATAGAGAATATATTGATAGATACTGATGATACTTATTTTTCTAATCAGTTAAAGTATGTCCTCTAAGGGTAACATACAGGATAAAACTAAAATAGACACTCCAATCACCTGCATGATCTCCCACTCCTATTATAAATCTAAAAAGTATTAAGAAGCTAAGAGCCCTAGCTGGTTTGGCTCAGTGGATAGAGCATCAGCCTGGGGACCAAAGGGTCCCAGGTTCCATTCGGGTCAAGTGCACATGCCCAGGGTTGCTGGCTCGATCCCCAGTAAGGAGCATGCGGGAGGCAGCCGATCAATGATTCTCTCTCATCATTGATGTTTCTATTTCTCTCTTTCTCCCGTCCTCTCTGAAATCAATAAAAATATATATTTTTTAAATATTTTTTATTGATTTTTCATAGAGCGGAAGAGAGAGGGATAGAGAGTTAGAAACATCGATGAGAGAGAATCATCGATCAGCTGCCTCTTGCACACCCCCTACTGGGGATGTGCCCACAACCAAGGTACATGCCCTTGACCAGAATCAAACCCGGGACCTTTTAGTCCGCAGGCCGACGCTCTATCCATTGAGCCAAACTGGTTTCGGCATGAAATCAATAAAAATATATTTTAAACTGTGAATAAAATCACCACAGGCATGCTGTCAACAACATCCAGACTCTGGAAAACCCAATTACATTGACTCCTAGAACATACTCTTTGTATTAAGGGGTTATTCTTTAAGTAATGACCACACTTTCTCCTGTATCCTTAACTAGGTCATTCAACCAACTTCGTGGTGACCGTCCTTTTACCCTCCAAGAGGTCCATAGATTACTGGATTGTCAAGGGCTCGGCTCTGCTCTGCCAGCTGAATGAGTGAAGGGGCCGCTCGGTGCTGAAAAGGAAGCAGGCCAGGGGTCTCTGAAGAGAAGAGTCTGTGTAATTTATATGTTAGCAAAACAGCGTTAACTTCTGATCTGATTTAATAGTAGTAAGTGTGGCTTTTTACTTCTCTTATAATCTAAAATAAAGTGTTTGAGTTTTTCTTTCTGTTGGTAATTCAAAATTTGATGTGAAAACTGTGGGTTCAGCTCCCACCTCTTCAACCTGCTCCCCCTTCCCCCAAATGAGATCCAAGAAACTTTCCCTTAGTGACCTGGGGGGTCCCACTCCTCACCCCCCCCCCCCCATGGGCAGCCAGAACTCAGCACTTCCTTACCCACACAGGCTCCCTCCCTCCTCACACAAACATGGAAGGCCTGGTAGGCTCTTCAGTCACGTGGCCCCGGGTGATGATGAAGACCAGGTCTCTAGGCCAGACAAAGGCTCAGAGCCCTCATCATGGGAGGTTGATGCTGCAACCGTGACAACCGGTAGCAGATGAGCAGGAGGATAGATCCTGGCCCAACTCTGGCTCACGGCGCCAGTTCCCCCTCTCCACGTGGCTCTAGCACAACCCTTGGAAGAGCCTGTGCTTTCGCCGAAGTACAGGTTGGTCCTGCCCGGTGCCCAGGAATTTTCCCTTCCGCTTTGGGGTGAGCCTGTGAACGCTGTCCAAGTGCCAGCAGGTGGAAGAACCGGGTCAGTCATCATAGTGGATCCAGTCCTCCCACTGACCTCCTCTCCCTCACGCCCATTCCTATCAAAGTGAAGAACAGACTCAAGTCACAGAGCAGCAGGAAGCGCCACTTGTATTCCTCAGAGTCCAGGGCAGAAGTCGGAAGCTACTCTCGGTGTTTCAGCAGGAACAGGTGCTCACTAGGCTTTGGGAATGGCTGCAGCTGCAGAAGTCAGGGTGTCGACACTTAGGCACCCCAGCAGCTGCAATCCACGGTCAGGCTCGTGAACAAACAAAGGCTATTTACCCAGAAATTGCTACAGGAAGGGAGATGGCTACCGTCACTTGGTTAGTTAGTTGCCAAAGCAGGCAGAGAAGTGGGAAAGCTTTAGGGAGAGAAAAGGGGAAGCTTCGGTGTGCCCTGGGAGAGGCTACAGGCATGGGGAGCCCATAGGTGGGCTCACTGAGAGCAGGGCACCTTTGTGATTGGTTAGGGGCACGTACAGGCTTTCTGCTTGTGGCTCTAGATTGGAATCAAGGGGACAGAAATTGGAGAGGCTGTTCCTTCTCAAGCAAGTCCTGGTCATTTTGTGTCAGTTGCTACAGCAGTTTGTTGTCTTCCTGGAATGGTTACTGCAGATAGAGGGTCGGAGTTCTGTTTTTAAAGATGGTTTGTCTATTGTCTGTTTTTGTTAACAAAATTAATTTTAGACTGTAATTAATAATTTTAATTAAAAAACACATTTATTTAAGCCCTAGCTGGTTTGGCTCAGTGTATAGAGCATCAACCTGTGGACTCAAGGGTCCCAGGTTCAATTCCAAACAAGGGCACATGCCCAGGTTGTGGGCTCGGTCCCCAGTAGGGAGCATGCAAGAGGCAGCCAATCAATGATTCCCTCTCATAGTTGACTTTTCTGTCTCTCTCTTCCTCTTCCTTCCTCTCTGAAATCAATAAAAATATATTTTTTAAAAAACATTTATTTAAGAAAAAAGGATCTTGAGGCTAGAGATACTAGTAGATTCAGGCAGCAACCTAGATTGTGGTCCAGAGGAAAACAAGGAAAGGGAGGGCTTATCAAAGCAAAAAGCACAACGTGTAATTATTTCCTGCAAAAGGAGGGTCAAAAGGAGGGTTGCTGGCTGGGGAACAGGAGTCTGGTCAGTTTCAATATACGAAGGTGTAAAACCGCAAGGCGAGGGTTCGGGCCAGTGTCCAGGCAACAGGATGTTTATGGCTGCAGACTTGAGCTGAGTTTAGCAGCAAGTTAGCAACTTAATAGCAGCCCTGAGAACTGAGGCATTAGGAGGAGGAGGCCCCGCTTCCCCAATACCTCCCACCTTTGTGCCACTCTGTCAGCAATGCCTGCTCCCTTTTACTTTTTCTCTGAAACACTTTTTGAAGCCAACTTCTCAGTCCTGTTTGACTGGGCAGATGGATCCATCCTCCTGACTTGGATGCGGCGGGTCCCTAGGCAATAGCTTTCCAGAGCCAGTGCCCCAGGCTCCCCACTCAGCGGCCCCGGGGGCAGTCCTTCCTTTCCTCTCCTCCTCCCGTCTCCCTAAAAGGCTTAGTAAAATATTGGATCCAGGGGAAGAAAAAAGAATGCATTACACACAAGCATTTCAGGGGGAGGTGACAGTAAAAACACGTGTCCTCACGTGACACTTCAATCAACAGTTACGGCAGGTTCTGGAGGAGAGCCCTCCCGGATGGCAACAGAAAACCACCCGTCATTGCCAAGACCGGTTTGGCTCAGTGGATAGAGCATCGTCCTGGACTGAAGGGTCCCGGGTTTGATACTGGTCAAGGGCATGTACCTAGGTTGCGGGCACATCCCCAGTGGGGGGTGTGCAAGAAGAAGCTGATGAATGATCCTCTCTCATCGATGTTTCTAACTCTCTATCCCTCTCTCTTCCTCACTGTAAAAAATCAATAAAATATATATTTTTAAAAAACGCCCATCACAAAGAGGTGGAGAGATCAGGTGATAAATGTTGTTCCTGAGTTAAAATTTGCTTAAATTTGTTTTTTACTGCTGAAGTCACAACAGTCTCTTCAATAAATGCTGGGAAATTTGATCAGATACATGCAAAAAAAAAAAAATGAAACTAGATCACCAACTTACACCATACACAGAAACAAACTCAAAATGATGAAAGGATTTAAATGTAAGGCGGGAAGCCATAAAGATCTTAGAAGACTCCATACACAGCAAAATATCAGACATATGTCATGGCAATATCTTTACAGACACAGCTCCTAGGGCAATGGAAACTAAGGAGAAAACAAGTAAATGAGATTACATCAAAATAAAAAGCTTCTGCACAGCAAAAGAAACCATCAACAAAACAACAAGAAAGCCCACTGCATGGGAGGACATATTTGCCAATGATATTCCCAATAAAGGTTTAATCTCCAAAATTTACAGGGAACTCATACAACTTAACAAAAGGAAGATAAATGATTCAATCGAAGAATGGGCAAAGGCCCTAAGTAGGCACTTTTCGAAAGAGGACATACAGAAGACAGAGAGACACATGAAAACATGCTCAAAGTCACTAATGATCCAAAGGATGCAAATCAAAACAACAATGAGATACCATGTCACACCTGTCAAAATGTCTATCATCAACAAATCAACAAACGACAAGTGCTGGTGAGGATGCGGAGAAAAAGGAACCCTTGTGTGCTGCTGGTAGGAATGCAGACTGGTGCAGCCACTGTGGAGAACAGTATGGAGTTTCCTCAAGAGTTAAAAATGGAACTCCCGTTTGACCCAGTAATCCCACTTCTAGGACTATATCCCACGAAACCAGAAACACCAATCAGAAAGGATATGTGCACCCCTTTGTTCATAGCAGCACAATTTACCAGAGCTAAGATTTGGAAACAGCCTAAGTGCTCATCAGCAGATGAGTGGATTAAAAAACTGTGGTTCATCTACACAATGGAATACTATGCTGCTATAAAAAAGAAGCAACTTTTACCATTTGCAACAGCATGGATGGACCTGGAGAGCATTATGCTAAGTGAAATAAGCAAGTCAGAGAAAGATAAATATCACATGATCTCACTCATATGTGGGATATAACTATCAACATAAACTGATGAACAAAAATGGATCCAGAGACAAGGTGGCATTGAACAGACAGTCCAACCTCAGGGAGAAGGCAGGGGAGGGAGGTTAGAGATCAACCAAAGGACTTGTATGCATGCATAATATTATAGCATGATCAATGGACACAGACACTGGGGTGGTGGGGGCTTACCCTCACAGGTGGGAATGGGGGGGTGATTAGTCAGGGGAGAAAAAAAGAGACATGTAATACTTTAAACAATTTGTCTTTTACTGTAATGTTTTATGCATCACTGGCTGGGCTCGAGGGGCCACGGGCTTGGTCTCATCCGGAAGGAAGGACGGCCGTTTCAGTGGTCTTATGGCAAACACGATTCATGTTATTCTTAACACTTCTCACCAGCTTTTTCAGTTCTTTGAGGGCTCTCAGTAATTCCCCCAGAGATTTTATTAAATTTTCATTATAATCTATGAAGACTTCCAGGGTCTGCGTGTCTCCTTCCAAAACATCTGTGCTTTTCCTTGGCTCCAGCTCTCCATCCAACTGCTTCTGTTCAGGTCCACACTGAGGTAGCAGCTTGTTCGTGGTCTTGCAACTTTGACCCAGATCCTCCTTGTAGCAGAAAGGAACTGGCGGCTGGTAAGGACGTACAGGTCGAACAGAGCTTATGGGGGTCTTTGGTATAAAGGTCTTTGGAGGCTCCAGGGGCCCCCCTGTGATGCTGGTGTCTAGCGTGCTATGGTAGGGGCGGGGCACCATTGGGGGGGCGGGTGTCAGCTGCCTCAGCTTGCTGTCTTCATGCTTGCCAAAGGGGGTGATCCAGTAAGATGGCACAGATGTGACTTTCCTTGGTTTCCTTAGGTTTTCAAAAAACTCATGGTTGGCCTGCTCATCAATGCATGTCTGGCTGTCGGCATGCCTGCTGGATGGGGGGTTCCTTGGTATTTCCCGTGCATGCCTGTCGTGCTCACTGATCTTAGTCTGCACAAGGAAAGAAAGGGGATACTTAGCACACTTAAGGTTCAGTGGCAAAGACCAGGAAAATAATTATATCTAGAAGCCTAGCAAGTCACAACACAAGCTGTTCTACCAAAGGTCAAGTGACCCTATTGAAATTCTGCCCCCTGCCTCATTGTAACCCATTAAGAAATAAAGTTGAAGTTTAATTGTTTCTCTCTCACTTTTTCACAGAACAAGTTTTGGATATTAAAATTTTAATGACCCTAATTAACTTTAAAATTTACAACACTTCATGCTTGAATGAAAACTGCTCCATCCATGTTGTGCATAAATGGGGCACAAGGCGCAGTGGGTGGTTTCAATAGAATTCTTAATCAAGGCTTTAGGGGGGGAAATGCTAAGTATAGGAGTAACAAAATATATGCTTTGAATTAATATTATCCTGTATAATAAAGAGGTAATATGCAAATTGATCCTCGCACAAGATGGCCACTCCCATGTGCCCACGTGGTCAAAGATGGCCACCACAAGATAGCTGGCATGGGAAGGTAGTTGTGGGCAATCAGGCCAGCAGGGGAGGGCATTTAGGGGTGACCAGGTTGGCAGGAGAGGGCAGTTAGGTGTTGATCTGGCTGTCAGGGGGGTGGTTAGGTGGTGATTAGGTTAGAAGGCAGAAGCAGTTAGGGGCAATCAGGCAAGCAGGCAGGAAGGCAAGCGGTTGGGAGCCAACAGTCCTGGATTGTGAGATGGATGTCCCAGATTAGAGACGATGAAGGCTGAGCTGAGGGACACACACACACACACACACACACACACACACTGCACAAATTTCCTGCACAGGGCCTCTAGTTAATTATGTTAAATTAAGACTTTAAACTTCTTTTTTTTAAATTGTTTTCTTTAAATAAATCTATATTATTCATATTATTACAAATGTTCCTCATTTTTTTCCCCTCCATTGCTCCCCTCCACCAGGTAAACTTCTTTTTACATTTTACACATATGTTCCAAATGTGTGTTAAACATGGAGGACCGACCACAAACCCATTTCCTCTTCTCTTCCTTTTAGAAATACCTCATTAGAGTTAAAGACAAATAGAAGGTAACTCATGATACAGGATAAACAGGGGATGATGTTTAGCATTTGAAAGCTGACAACTAGGTAAAGGAGTGGTCATGCATGACCTGGCAGAACACAGGAAGCACAACCTTGGTGCCCATAAAGAGTGGCATGGAGGGGAAGAAGAAAGCCAGTTTATCTGACAGAACCAAGACCAGTTCAGAAATCAGAGGCTTGACTCCAAACCCTTGCAGTGATGCCTGTCAGTTAATACAAGTCCTGCTCACTCCCGGTGCTTCCAATTATGATAGATCTATGGGACGGCCAGGGAACATTACACATCTAAGGAGAGCCAACTACTAAGGGATCAAAACAGGAAGAATACAATTAATGGGAGTGATGAAATTCAGAAGCAAAAGAAAACTTTAAAAATTATTCTTACTCGACCTCAGAAAGACAAAAAAAAATTGCATTTGGGAAATAGCCAAGTACAAGAAGAATGAGAGAGTATAAAAGAACTCTCTAAATTAAAAATATAGGCAAGACAAAGAATTCAATAGGAGGGTTGGAGCATAAGTCAAAATCTATAGAAAGTAGAAAAAGACAAAATAAAAAACAGGAGCGGTGGGAAATTAGATATCTGTGTAGGAACACTGTTCTGAAAATTCCAACTTCTAAGTAATAAGAATCACTAGACAAATAAGTAGAAAAATAGCAAAAACAAACAACAAAACAATTAACTGAAAGGAGAAAAGATCTGCAGACTTGATTGTCAAAATAAAATAAAAAGGTGCATACCAAATTATATTATACAATTTCAAAATCTCAGCGACAGAGAAGGTACTAAAAGCTTCCAAAGTAGAAAGATTTGGGGTGAAAAATCACAAAAATTGGTAATATACAATGCATCAGACAATGTCAACAGATTTAAGAGCAACACTGTAAATGAGCAACACTGTAAATGTCTTAACCCAAAAAAAAGAAGTTTCAACCTAAAATTCTATATTCTATAAAATAGGATCTATAAAAATGTCTGCTCCTGTCCCATTTCCCAGGGAAATGTGCTCCAGTAAACAAGGGTTATAACAAGACAGAAGGAAACACAGAATCTAGTGCATAGGAGAGCAGTTCTGTGAGATCCCAGATGACTTCGAGGAGACATGCCAGGAAAATAGGCAAGGAGCAGGCTTAGGGAAAACCAGTCTGTAAAAGAAGAGGATAACAAAGACTGGGAAGGATGTTTCCAAGAAAATTTGAAATAGATGCGTTTAGTAGATGGAAAATTTTTTTATAGGCATGTGGCAAATGTCAACATTTGAAGAAAAAATAGCTATTTGAAACAAGAAAGTGCATATAGTCAGGAAATTAATTACACACACACACACACACACAATTGCTAAATATTAAATTAATATAGCATAAATGTAGTATTTTTGTCTAATAGTCATACTTTTGTTTGATTAGTAGATTGTTAGGCACAAAAAATTGTTTTTTAAAGCAGGAAGACCAGCCTACTGCTTATGTGAGATCATGTTGGCTAGAAAAATGAGGATTAAATCATCCTGGAGAAGTGTAGAAGTGCTAGGTTTAGCAATATGTGAGAAAAAGAATGAAGGTTATATAAGGAACAGGCAGTCATGGGACTATATGGCTCACCAGTGAAAAGTATTTGCACAGTCATAGGAATGTAACATGGATTCTGACTCAATAAAACTGTGCTACATGTTGAGGGAACAGAAGGAGGGAAGACCGAGGTGCAGTGAGAAAGCTAAGTTTTCACCTGCTAGGACGGAAAGTCAACAGACAGTTCTGAAAATCAAGTTAGCTCTTATACTTTTCTTAAAAAATAAAATTTTAAAATTAAGTTTTTAAAATATGTTATTGAAATTTAACCTGAGTGTCAAAAAACTTTTTAAAACGGGCCTTACTAAGCCAAAGACGTTCCTGAAGACATATATTTGAACATTTGAAAGAAGAGATTTAGGAAATCAAAATAAGAGGTCCATTGTATTTTTTTTAGGAATCATGGCAGACAGCTTTTAAACCGAACCATTAATTTCTTAACTTTTCCACTGTTTACATACATGAATTACACCATCAGTCTTCCTCTTCTCTTGCTCTAAGAATAGAAAAGAATTAACTGATTAATTCTGATACAAATGACAGAAAAAAGAAGCCTTGCTGACTATCTGAAAGATTGATTACTAACATTCAAAATGAGATAAAATTTTATTCCACTTTTATAATATCCAACAACAAGGATCATTTAAATTACCTGGAAAAATGATGCCCATAAAGTAAGATCTAAAAACTTAGTTTTACTTTTTGACCAAAGATATATTTTTATTAGGTACAGATGAAAGAATATCCACATTCAGAGGAAAATGGCAAAGCACATTAGACCAGGTGAGGAACTTACCAAATAGAAAAGCTTACCTCTTGCATATCAGGACCTCGGTAGTTGTGTCTAATCTTACCTTTGTACCCACCTCCATTGAATCACTAACAAGTGACAGCTCTCAGAACCAGCTTCTGTCCAGGCAGTAATCCCTGGAAGCACCAGCATCATTGGCCACATCTTTAACTACTTATTGGTACTCAACTAAACTACCTGACTACAAAAATAACTGGGTCTCTACTTCACTGAAAAGTAACCTATATAAATTTGAATTTAATCAGTATGTGATAACATATCTACATAGAACCTTTGAACATATCTACAGCATTTTGCTCTCACAAAGGCTAGGAGAAGAAGAAAAGAGTGCCCAGGACTGTACTTTGTTCCACATACTCCTATAATGTGGGCCGGGCCACCTGGGCACACATAAGCAAAATGACAACTGTGTGGGAGAACGTATTTGCCAATGTTGCATCTGGTAATGGGTTAATTTCCAAAATACATAAGGAACTCATACAACTTAATAAAGGGCTTTCTAATTTAACTACCGAGGTCCTGATATGCAAGAGGTAAGCTTTTCTATTTGGTAAGTTCCTCACCTGGTCTAATGTGATCAGATATGATTCTGTCTATAGTTTTAGTCCTTTTCAATTTATCGAAGATTGTTTTACAGTTTACACTGTTGCTCACATCTTCTGGGCTTTATTTTCTGTCTTCTTGTATCAGTTATTTGTGATGTGCTATAATATACTCAAACAAAACTGTGGATGGTATATTTCTTCATTTAATATTTTTGTTTCAGAATTAACCCAATCCCTATCCCTATCCCCTGTTCAACTCTAACCCTAACCCTAGAAAAAGCCCTAAACTTATTAATAACTTTATAACTAACCATACTCATAGCCCTAGACTTAATCATTGCCCTATCTATTCCACATTTCTAACCCTAGAACCTAAACCTAGTCAGAACACTAACCCTAGTCCAAACCCTAGCCATAACCATAATCCAACCCTAACCCTAACCCTAAATCTAACTCATGTCTTCAGGATAATCCCTTGAAGTGGGATTTCTTGATGAATGCATCAGCAGTTTTTGTGAGGTTATGCCAATGTTCCCTTCATAGGGTCTAACCATTTTGCATTTCCTCAACAATATATGAAAGTAACTATTTCTTCACAACCTTACCAAAAAAAATCTGTAAAATTTACAGATCTTCACCCAATAGGAAAAAAAATAGTTATATATATATATATATATATATATGTGTGTGTGTGTGTGTGTGTGTGTGTGTGTGTGTGTGTGTGTGTTTCAGACAGGAGGAAAGAGGGAAAAATAGAAACATCAATGATGAGATAGAATCCTTGACTTAATCAAGTCAGTTATTGCTTGATTTGATCCCTGCAACCCAGTCAAGTGCTCTGACTGGTAATTAAACTGAGATATCCTGGTTCATAGGTCAATGCTCCTCTGTCCAGGGCATTCTTGGCTTTAAATGAAAGTCACCAGAGCAAACTCATTGAAATACATCAACGTGTTTATCTATTAAAGTCATACTTTTTCATGACTTCCACTTTTATTCTTATTCATTATAATGAATTTATAGGATTGAGAGGTAGGTATTGCTTCTGAGTTGTATACAATAATTTTGAATGGAAATCATCAAAACTGGAGTAAGTTAAGATGGGACCACTTTATGGAGAAACCATAATCTATGAGCTGAATTCCAAAGAGCTGTGCAAGCACCACAGCAACTGAATTTGTCATGCTTGTCACCTATAGTTCAGCCTCTTCTGTCAGTAGCTGAGTTACACTGTCATTTCATCAGCAATGTAGGGGGAGTATACATGGGCCTCATTTGTAATTAGAAGGGTCAAATGACATACACATTAAAATGAATTGTAAATCTTAAAGAATTTTATAAAGGACCTATTTTGGTCTCTACCACTATTATCTACTAACTAGGGACCAGTTCACAAAATTCGTCAAGAGTAGGCCTTCCTTCCCTGGGCTGTCAGCACCAGCTTCCCTCTAGTACCCAGAATCCAGGCTTCCCTCTAACCGCCAGCAGACACCTAGGACCAGGACTTCCCTCACAGCCCCAGATTCATCCAAAGGTTGTCTGGAAGGATGCCTAGTCTAATTAGCATATTATGCTTTTATTACATTATTATAGACTAGATGCCCAATACATGAAGATTCCTGCAAGAATGGGCCTTCCTTCCCCTGGCTGCCAGCATCACCTTTGCTCCAGCCTGGAGCTGCCTTTTGGCCTTCCCATGCTGCCCAAAGGCCTGCCCCCGGCCACTCGGCACGTGTGTATGCAAATTAACCCAGCATCTTTGTTGGATTAATTTGCATACTCACTTCTGATTGGCTGGTGAGCATCACAAAGGTACACTCAATTTGCATCTTTCTCTTTTATTAGTGTAGATTAAAATAGATACCACCCATTTACTCACAGGCTTACCATAGAGCACCAAGCAGAGCATAAGTTTTTACAAATAATTATTTGCTTTTTGTATAAAACTACAATTCATTAATTCACATAATTTGCTCATTTTTTGCACACTATTTGAATATTGTGAAAAAAAAGAGTATTTCCCAATTACAAAGCCATGTTCACCATCTGGGTAAATTCATAGCACAATTAATATAACTTTTAATACAACTAAGAGCTTAATAAAATTCAAGTGTAAATAAAATAAAAATTATAGGACATTTCATCTATGAAAAATAAAATATGGCATTAATTTTTTTCAAAGACATTTTTGTTGATTGATTGATTGAGAGAGAGAGAGAGAGAGAGAGATCAATAAGAGAGAAACATCCACCAGCTGCCTCCAGCATGCTGCCTACTAGATGGAGCCTGCAACCCAGGCATGTTGCTTTGACCAGGAAGTGAAGCAGTGACCTCTCAGTGCACACAATGATGCTCAACCAACTGAGCCACACAGGCCAGGGCTAATCTGGCATTTAAGTGAAACTAATGGACAAATGGGGTTTTAACATCTTTATCATAGAAAGTTTTCTATTTCAAAGAACACAGTGTTCATTAGCCACTTTGTTACCCAAAATTACTTTAAATCAACCATTTCCCTCTTTTCCCTCTCTCCTCCCTCTTTCTGCCCTCCTCTTCCCTTCCCCCTGCCCCCCATTTTAGTCCTTAGAACTTTCGCCTCAACAGTCTGAATGGTTGAACAGGACTCTATTGTCAGAAAGGGAGCAGGCTGTGAGCCACAGAGACAAGCATTCTTGTGCAGAATCCGGCATCTTAATTCCCAAAACTTTATATTATAGATAATATTTGTTTGTCTTTAATTTTTTTTTAATTATTAACCAACAAACAGTCTCATGAACCACCAACCTCTCCTTTAGAAGAGGAAAGACTGTTTAGTAGCTAAATTAGGACAGCCATTTGTGTAAAAGTGGCGGTTTTGAAGTAATCAGAACACCATGGGTCCTCCTTTGGATAAAAATATTAAACAAACAAAAACTATTCTCTGCAGCGCTGGCAGTAACAGTTCACACTGTTCACTTATTGTATGTTTTTCTCCCCACAATTTTCTTTCCTTCTGTGTTAAAATTATAGTTGGAAGAAATAAGGCAGCTTCTATCTGGGAAACTGAAAACAGCTCACTTAACACCAAATAACTCTCCCATGTCTGTCTCTATTTTGAATTCAAAGAACCAATCCAAAATTGTTTGTGTGTGTCCTGAGTATCAACTACCTTAACAAGTGGGAGCAAGGGTACCACCAAGCTCTTACCTGGTTCCTTCACGCAGGTACCACGTAAAAGCATGAATAAATAATGGATACTCAATATTAGGGTGTTAAAGTTTTCATTGAGAAAGGAAGATGCTATACCCAAAAGTCTTTGCAAAGTCTCATGAAGACTAACTAGAGCTCTAAACAAGAATGGCTGAGCCAAAACCGGTTTGGCTCAGTGGATAGAGCATCGGCCTGCGGACTCAAGGGTCCCTGGTTCAATTCTGATTGGGGGCATGTACCTTGGTTGCAGGCACATCCCCAATGTGGGGTGTTGCAGGAGTCAGCTGATCGATGTTTCTCTCATTGATGTTTCTGACTCTCTGTCTCTCTCCCTTCCTCTCTGTAAAAGATCAATAAAATATATTATAAAAAAAAAAAAAAAAAAAAGAATGGCTGAGGTCTGGGGTGTCTCAGACAAGTTTGAAAAATTATAGAATAGGGAAACACCTGGGCATTCAGATAGTGCAGAAAGAAAGACACCGGTTAGGTGCTATGGGGAAAGAATAAGGGTTGGGGGTGCCAGGCACAGCCAGCCTTGGTCCCTGGTGTCCAGCCCTAAAAAACGTCAGCTCCAGGCAAGGAGGAGCCTGAGGCTCTAGATCTCTCCCAGGGGACCAGGGGAACAAGAAAATCCAGAGGTCCACCTGAGAGTGGACAGCGCCCACCGCCTCCTTACCTTTGGGCATCTTTGGTTCAACGAGGTGCTGCAGGCCGTGTAGCTCACTGCCTCCCCGACCCAGCTTGGGTGAGGGTGCTCCTGCCACCTTGTTTCTAATCCTCTCCTCAGAAACCTCAGACTTGTCGTCTGTCTCTGTTGGTCCTGAGCTCCGGCCCAGCTTGGGGCTGGGAATGGGATTGAGGCAAGAGCTCAATGTGTTCCCCATGGTGTGCCTCCACTTCTCGCTTTCGTCACCACATTTACTTGTCCCCCCAAACTACCCCACTTTCAGCAGTCCGGCCCTCCAAACAATGACACTGCTGGTGGGGGTAGCCCTGGGGCTGCACTCTTCAAGCAAGCCCAAACTGACTCCCCGAATTCCCTGGATGCTGGGCACAGAGCCCCAGAAGAGTTCAGGGCTCCCCTCCCCCCACAAACTTCCCTCTGCTGCCCTGCTACTGCTTGAGTTGACTAGTCTGTGAGGGTGGCAACCAGCCAGACTTATGGGAAAGGGGTGGGGAAAGACCAGCGCTGGGAACTCCAACCGCTTCAGGAAGAGATCATCGCCAAAGCTCCTGCCTCTGCAGCCGCCTCTCAACTGAAGACCATTCTGATGGCGGGCGCCACCAACCAGAACATCTCTGATCCAACTTTAAGGCCGGCTGGTTGCTCCCCCTTTCTCCTCTCTTATGATGATTTCTATTTCCGTCTTACACCCAAGTCACCAATCTTTGGCTCCATCCACCCCATCTCAAGCCTTGCTGATACCAACTGCCAACTTGTGCCAACTGCCAACTGCCAACTGCCAACATTCCACTGCACTCCCCTTTCTTGCTCTCTCTCCCTCCTTTCCTTTTGTCACCCTTTCTCTCTCCCCCACTTCCTCATTCCAGACTTCTCCTAGGGAATGGGAAAATGAAAGCCTCCTCTGATATCTGCAAATAAAATGTCAGGGAAGGGGACAATCTCTATTAATCAAACCTGGGAACAAAGCCAATTTGGAAACCTCCTCCCTTCCTATCAAATCACAGGTTATGGCTGCATGAGCAATAATGTAGGTCAGTGTTGGCCAAACTTGGACCAGCACGCTCCTCTCAGAAGGCTTTTCTTAGCTACCAACCCCTCTTATGTTACTGAGGGGTCCTCTCTCATGGAAAGAGCCCACATCAGTAACTTCCTCTAAGAATGCATGTGCTCATTTTTGCCTCCTACTTGCTCTTTCCATGTCCTCACAGCCCCCTACCCAAGGCCTGTTGACCCTACCAACATTTACTTATCATTCTTCTCTAGCTGCCTTTTGATTATTATTATTATTCATTGGAAACAAAAGATCGAACTGGCTTTCTTTCTCAAAGAACAATGAACCCGTAAAACTGATTTTTAAAAATCACATGCATTTAAGTAGCTGTGCCAGTTCAGACCAGATTCTTGGGCTGATCTATTCTTGGGCTAAATTGACACTAAATTCAGGAAGTGGCACATCTATACGCTGGATGCTCCACATGCAAATGCCAAGGGCCTAAGAAGAGTAACAACAGTAGGGACATGGGTGTGGGTCCTCACTGGCAAAAGGGCTTCAACGCCACCAGATTATACCTATGGCTACAGAGAAGTGTTGTCAGGTTTGAACAAAGATGATATCACTGTCCAATTAAGTCCATATTTATTATTTCCTCACTGGGCCATATCTGTCATAATCTATGAACCAACATTTTTAACAAATCCTCTGATAACTCCCTCATCATCTTGGAAAGAAGTGATTACATTAAATTGAGAGTGTGTGTGTGTGTGTTCGCAAGAGTGTGCACATTTGTGGATTTAATTTTTGTTTCTTAAATACTGACATTTTGAAAAAATATCAAATAGCCAGGCCAGTTCAACTAGGAACCAGAAGATCAGATTTTGATTCCTTATCAGGGCACATACCTGAGTTGGTTGGGGAATGCATCCCCAGTAGGGGTGGGCAGCCAATCGATTATTCTTTCTCATCATTGATGTCTCTATCTCTCTCTCCTTCTCTTCTCTGAAATCAATAAAAATTTATATTTAAGAAAAATAAATAAATTATGTTAAATAAAAAATAAAATAAAATATACCAAAGGGCCCTGGCTGGTGTAGCTCAGTTGGTTGAGTGGTCACCAGTTCAATTCCCTGTCAGGGCACACACCCAGTTTCAGTTTTAGCCTGGTCAGGTATTTCTCTCTCTCTCTCTCTCTCTCTCTCTCTCTCTCTCTCTCTCTCTCTCTTTCTTCTTCTTTTTCTTCTTCTTCTCTCTCTAAAAATCAATATAAACAGCTCAGTCGGTGTGGCTCAGTGGTTGAGTGTCGACATATACTGGTAATCCAAGAGGTTATGTTTCAATTCCTGGTCAGGGCACAGGAATTGAAACATAATGGGCTTGATACCCAGTAGGGGATGTGCAGGTTGTGGGCTTGATGCCCAGTAGGGGATGTGCAGGAGGCAGCTGTCAGAGATTCTCTTTCATCATTGATGTTTTTATCTCTCCCTCTTCATCCCCTCTGAATTCAATAAAAACATATATTTTAAAAATAAACACATGTTTAAAATAATAAATAATTTTAAAATAAAATATACCAAGGAGAAGAACATGGAACATCTGTAATAAAGTCAACAATAATTTAAAATAAAATAAAACATATCACAGAGGAGCATTTACGTAAGATCTTGTTGCCTAATATATGTCATCAGTTTGGCTCAAATAAGCTCTTTAAAATTCAAATATATATATAAAATCACAAAATGTGTAACCCTATTTTTGAATTTCTTTTTCTTTCCAATCTCTCTCTGTGTCTTTTTCTGTTTGAAAGAGGCCTAATCATTTTTTGACCAGTGAAAGGCCCTCTGAGGACATAGAAAGGAGGCAAGGTGACAAATGGGGAAGAGTCTTTCATTTTACATCTTTACTTAGACAACGAAATGGTGTAGAAGTCCCAGAGCTTCAGATGGTCTTCCCAGACTAATCGGTTTCTGAACTCTCAGAGGAGCAGGCTTCCAAGGGGCACCAGCCGCACCGGTGACAGTGGTCTAAATGTGTATCTTCACTATGAGTCCAAAGTAAACAAAAGTGAACATTTCCCCATCACCTTTTATCCCCTCTGTGCCCTCTTCCACCTCCACCCATCCCCCTTCACCCTGCGATCACCACACTGCTGTCCACCGCCATGAGTTCCTGAGTCTCCCCCTCCACTTTCTCCCCCCCTCCAACCCTCCTTCCACTTTCTCTCAAATAAATTTATTCTTGGGTGACTATTTAGAATCTACTGGAGCACAGGCTCCAGATCTGGTTAGTTAACTCGGAATCTCAGGGGGAGGGGGAGGTGAGCAGTATTTTAAGCTGCCCTGATAAAGCTAATGTGCAGCCAGGGTCAAGAGACTGACAAAAAGAAAATTACAATATGGTAGAATGTGTGTTAAAAGGGTCCATGGCAGCCCATAACCAAGCCCTCATCCAGGGGGACTTTCCCAGGGGAACGCTGTCTAAACAGAGACCGGGCTTTGAACAGGAGACCGCCAGCGAACAGCATTCCAGGAGAGGCGGAATAGACAAAGGGAGGCTCGGAGGCAGGAGAGAGAGTTAGCATGGGATGACGCACAGACCAAGGCAGTAACAGTGGGAAAGAAAGAGGAAAGCTGGGGCCGGAAGGTGCAGGACCCGTGAAAGGGGGGGGGGGGGGGGGGGGGCAATCTGTAAGGCACTGGAGAGCCATCGAGTGCTTTAAGCAGAGCAGTGGCACAAACCAATGTGCACTTAGGAAGATCCTGTGGAGGAGAATTGGAGGGAATAAAAGTGGATGAGGTGAGACCTCTTTGGAGAGACAATGAGGGCTGGGCCAGGCCCGGCATGGGGTGCAGAGAAGGGAAGTGCCATCGAGGAAGTAAAATCCACGCACTTGTTAGTGAATTGGAGGTGGGAGAAAGGATGAACAAGAAATTTCTGGGATTAGCCCTGACCGGTTTGGCTCAGTGGATAAAGCGTCAGCCTGCAGACTGAAGGGTCCCGGGTTCAATTCCAGTCAAGGGCACGTACCTTGGTTGTGGGCACATCCCCAGTGGGAGGTGTGCAGGAGGCAGCTGTTTGATGTTTCTTTTTCGTCGATGTTTCTAACTCGCTATCCTTCTCCCTTCCTCTCTGTAAAAATCAATAAAATCAAAGAAAATTTTCAGAGATTCGCTCCCAGAAGGGGCCTCCAGACCACCCCCTCTGGCCTCCACTTGGCAGGCTCCGAGTTAAGAAGGGAGTGAACATCCACAAGACCCCAGTGTTGAGTGGCAATGGTCCTTCATGCAGCCAGAGCAGGAGGAGGAAGGGGGAGCCCATGCTCACTTCCTCCAGGCTCAGGAACGCCAGCTCCTTCTAGATCCCCAGGAAGTCTGTTGAACTCCGGGCCTTCCAAACACCCTGCGAGTGTTGCCACCCTTCAGAGTCCTCCCTGCCTCCAGCGCTTTCCCTGTGGCTGAGGCTGAGGCGAGGCCAGACTGAGTCCCATCCCGTCTCCAGCAGTTATCAGCTCTGTGACCTCAGGAAGTCCGGTAACTTATCTTCATCAGCTTCTTCATCTGCGAAAGAAAAGCATGAAAATATCCGGCAGGAATGCAAAGGCTTTTGCTACAGCAATTCGGCAATTCGGCAATAAGACTCAAAAATGTACATGCCCTTTGACCCAGAAATTCCAGGGTAGGCTTCTGACCTAAGGAAATATTGACACATATGTGCAAACACACACACACACACACTGCAGTTTGGAAATCGCCACACTGGGCTCGCTGCAGCCCTGTAGCAATGAAAAACCCCAGCAATCCGCATAACACTTGGAAAGTTACGCAGTCCTTTGAACGAGGGAGGCCAGCCTCTCTGTCCAGGACTGGAAGGGCGCACAGCAACGAAGGTGGCCTCCTCTGGGGAGGAACGGGATGGAAGTGGCGGAGGAGGGAAGGCATGTGGCCGGTTCAGTTTTCACTCTCCACGCTTCTGTCTCAGATGTTTTTTTACTTATAATAAGACAACTTTTATCATTTCTTTCAATGTAATGATTTTGTTTCAACCTAATGCCTCCTGAACGCACACTCTATGGCTTGTCCAGTTGGGAGTGTGCCTTCCACGTTAAAGCCTACCAGTCTACTCATGTTCCCACGGCTACAAAGCTCTCCACACTGTGGCCTATTTGGCCCTTTTCCTGATCATAAATAGTGCCGCTGGGCATGGGG